GACAATATAATATTGGATATTATTACGAAAATGGAATTGGAACCACAAAAGACGACCAAAAATCATTCCAATGGTATCTGAAATCGGCTGAAGGTGGAAATATTCAAGGACAATATAATATTGGATATTATTACGAAAATGGAATTGGAACCACAAAAGACGACCAAAAATCATTCCAATGGTATGTGAAATCGGCTGAAGGTGGAAATATTCAAGGACAATATAATATTGGATATTGTTACGAAAATGGAACTGGAACCATAAAGGACGAAAAAAAATCATTTCAATGGTATCTAAAATCAGCTGAAGGTGGAAATATTCAAGGACAATATAATATTGGATATTGTTACGAAAATGGCATTGGAACCACAAAAGACGGTAAAAAAGCGTTCCAATGTTATCTGGAATCTGCTAAATGTGGAAATACTCAAGGGCAATATAATATTGGACGTTATTATCACAAGGGAATTGAAACTGCGAAAGATTATGAAGAGGCATTTTATTGGTATCTGGAATGTGCCAAAGGTGGAAATACCAATGGACAATATAATCTTGGAATTTTCTATTGTAATGGAATTGGAACTATGAAAGACTATAATAAAGCATTTCAGTGGTGCTTAAAATCAGCCGAAGGTGGGAATACAAATGGACAATTTTGTCTTGGAAATTGTTATCATATAGGTATCGGAACCACAAAAGACTATGAAAAAACATTTCAGTGGTATCTAAAATCCGCCGAAGGTGGGAATACTTACGGACAAAATAATCTTGGAGTTTGTTATCGTTATGGAATTGGAACTACGAAAGATTGTGAAAAAGCATTTCAATGGTACTTGAAATCAGCTGAAGGTGGAAATACATACGGACAAAATAACCTAGGATTTTGTTATCATAAGGAAATTGGAACTACGAAAAATTATAAAAAAGCATTTCAATGGTACTTGAAATCAGCTGAAGGTGAAAATGCAAAAGGGCAGTATAATCTTGGAATTTGTTATCGTGATGGAATTGGAACTATTCAAGATAAGGAAAAGGCTTCACAGTGGTATATCAAATCGATTGAAAATGAGAGAGATAATAGAACCAATCAATATGAAGAAATATCACTTCAGTGTTACTTTACAACAAAAGAAAAAATTGGTAAACGAAAACATATCAGTTCGCTAGATGCATTAATGAACAACTTTATTTATTCCGGTAAGAAAGAAATTATATGATTGAAACCTAACATTTTGGTCTCTGGTTTATTTATATTAATATACACCAATAATTTTACTGGAATTAAGTTACTGATAGTGAAGTCGTTACTCTCGAACCTTTCGATAGCTTATCAATATTTATTATGAATGTTGAGGTAAATAATGTTAGGTGCTATTATATAAAAGTTAACAATAACGATTTATTTTTTTTTTAATTATACAACTATAGGACGAATTTGATATAGGAATACAGAAATGTCGCTTTGGATTGATTTTAAACAAGGAGGTGTTAACGAAAACAGAAAAGGAATGCCTTAATTTTATATCAGTTTTAAATATTCGATATGTTAACCCAGATAGAAGTACAATAATTAATCTAGTAACCACCAAATCCAAGGTGTACTCTTATTTCCTTGAAAATAATTTGGCGATTGAAGAACAAAACGCGCGTCAATTCTTCGAATCAGTCCCTTTCAAACCTCTTAATATCATTTCAACAAAAGTTGAATCTACTTTTCGGGCTATTTATTTTGCGATTTCTATTCCAATAGCTGAAATAAGATTTGAAGACATCAAACCATCTAGTATATTAATTCAAGCTCTGGAAGAATCTTTGTTGAGCACAAATCCATACATTTTACTGCAAGAAGTCTTCGAAAAATTTGGTCATTTAATTCCTCGTAAAATAATTGTTGGAAAAAAATTATCCCGTTATTGTCAGAAATTTGCATTAGCGTCATATCATGGACCCTCGGATCTATATAAGAAAATTTCTTTATCAGCAGAACCTAGCGAGCAAATTGACAAACTTCAATCTATACTGGATGAATGGAAAAAACTACTTTCAGCAGATAGGTTTGATTCAACGTACATTGTGTCTACTGAGGGACGTGCTATCGAAACCAAACATGTAAAAAGATGGATTTTAAGAGATTGTCATCAACTTGAAATTGTTGAATATTCGGATTTTATTCCAACATACACGATTCTAAATCCTTTATTGTGTAAAGAAATAGAAAAATGCTTTAAAAAAGAAAGTCAAATTTTAATGACTGGATATATTAGTATTGAAGATATCCACACTCATTATTATCGCGTTAAATTTGACACCCCGTTACAAGCCAATAACTATCAAATTTTTGGTTTTATTACACGTGAAGACAATATAGTATTGGAGAAATCAATTGTTGCATTCAAGTACTTCACCAAATTTGGATTTTCTATCGTCATAAAAAGGTGCTTGTTTTAAATTTTAATTTTTAATTTACAGTCAATTAAATATTTTTCCTATCATGTAGTTTAAATTACGAGCAATTAAACGGCGCTATGATATCTTGGATTATGATCGGAATTCCGTGTGAAGTTGGTTTCTACAGCAAAAATACTCGGACTATTGATGTATTACAGATGGATGCACTGAATGTTGCAAAAAATAGCATCAATTCATTTCAAAAAGATGATGAATCCATTATCGTTAGATTACCATCTCCAACTAAAATAACATTTGAAAGTATAATTAATATACAAATTGAATTTTCACAAAATACCAGTGAATCTTTTATAGAAACTCAATACTTAGATAAAACTAATGACGTTAAAATTATTAGTCAAAATGACAACTTTGATAATAGTTACCTTAATGAACTTCGAATTCATTATTTAATCTTAAGCTTTCCAACAGATCAGGAATGGATCGTTCCAGATGTTCGAATGGATTCAAGGAAAAAACTAGATAATTTACGGAAAGAAAATATGGGATATCGATTTAGCTTAAATAATAACTAGAAAATCACATGATATCTTAAGTTATTTCATCTCTACAATAAAAATATAAATTAAATTACCATAATATATGAAAACTAGATTAAGATATTAATAATGTTTTTTAGGTAAAGGATTAGGTTCATTAATAAAAGTAAGTGGTAAATTAAATATATTATATTATATTAAAATACTTGAAAATCATTTATTACCTTTAATTAATAATAATTTTAATTATAAGGGATATTTGTTTTAAAATAATAATGCTCCAATTAATAATGTTAAAAATGTTTAACAATGAATTTTAGAAAATAAAATTAGAATTTTACCTGATTGGCCAAGTCAATCTCCTGATTTAAATTCAATTGAATATTTGTAATTTGGATCAAAAAGAAAAACAAGAAATAGATTTGAAAATATAAAAAATTTTAAAATCAGAAATTATATTATAAGAAGAATAGAATAAAATATCAAAAAAATCAATTAATGAATTATATAAAAAGTATGTCACAAAAAATAGAAGCAGTTATTAAAAATAATGGATGGCCTACAGAATATTAATTTATATATAGATATTTCTTATATACAGTAAAACATAACATATTAAAATTTTAAATAAAATTATTATATAAAATTTGTGTAATTCTCTTTGAATCTGTTGCCAAGAAGTCTTTTCAGATAAGTATATTTGAATATAGCTGCATATCCATATACATTAAATTATATAATTGTTTTAATTTTAGGCTAATTAAAATATATTATATAATATTAGCATAAAAAAATATATTTTTTTATATAAACATTTATAAACTTTTCTGTATTGTAAATTAAATTTTATAATAACACATCACCACTAATGCATTAGCTTATATGTAACAATTTTTCTGCTTTGCTGCATCTGCTGCACTACATAACACATGACCATAACACACTGGAACACTCCAGAATACTTGAGAACACCCTGGAACTTTCTAAAATACATAAGAATTTTATGAAATACTCTGGAACATTATTAATCATTTCTTTTTTTTTTTTTATAGTAGAATGGCATTAGATGCAGGGATTTTTATTGAAGTAATTATCAATGTTACATATACATCAAACATTGTCTATTGCTATTACAACAGCTAAATGCTAGCCT